TATTGTTTAGAAGAAAAAACAGAAGTGAAACCAATTGTAAGTTCTTTTTATCATATAGATATTCATATTTTATCTAGCGTGAAGGTTAGGAGGATGTTGACTCTTCCGGACGAGAAAATCTGAATAAAATATTGATCGATGTATTCATAATTACTATTGATCTTTTCTAGGAAAATGAAGTTCTTAAAGAAAAACAAACAAATCAAAATGAAAATGTATCAATAACAATACAATCCGAAATTCACGAAGGTAAAATTAAATTCTTTTTATTTTTCGTCAATTTTCTATTAGTTTATTTTTTTTTTATTCTTTCTAGATGAACCATCAACTGCTGTTGGTACTGATGATAAAAAGATATCAGCAAAAAATAAAAAGAAAGCAGCAGCTGAGAAGAAAGCCAAAGGTGGTGTTGATGCTAAAACTGTATGTTCATTAACAAAAAAAGAGAAAAAACTAGTCATCATTTGTTTTTTTGTAATTGAAAAAAAAACAATTTCATTTTATTTTAGTTAAGTCTTATGAAAGAATTTCAAAAAAAACAAGAAGAAGCGAAATTAAGAGCTCTTAAAGATGAAGAAGAAAAACAACGTTTAGACGAAGAATTTCAAAAACAACATGAAGAAAAAACACGTTTAGATAAAGAACGTCGTGAAAAAAAGAAACAAAAAGAAAAAGAACGTATACAAAGAAAAAAAGAAGAAGGTTCTTATTTAACAAAAGATCAAAAAGAAAAACTTGAACGTGCTCGTATTCAATTGGAAGCTGCTGGAATTCAAGTACCAGCACGAAATACAACACAAACTATACCAAATAATAAAGAACAAACTGTTAAAAAACGTGTTCTTTATGATGATCGAAGAAAGAAAACACAAACAAATGCAAAACGTATATCATTTTTGTGTTTTATATTATTCTAATTAAATTTATTATTTTTATTTCATTAGAAGTAGATAATGTTGAACGAACAACTGCAGCATCACGAGTAGCTAAAACACCAATTGGAACAGAGAAAAAACTATCCGCTAAAGTAAGAACTTTATTGT